AGTAGTAGCTACTCATTTGGTAACGAACAGTCGCTATCCTTGGGGAAAGAGTCGTGTTCCAGAGGGTCAGGCGAGGTTTCTCTTAATGCTGACACAGAGGGGAGGGGAAGGGGCCGACGATGTTGAAGCACCTGCAACGCCTACTTGAATGATGTGCAGAGCGGGGTCAAGGAACAGGCTGGAGAGGATGGCTTGTGTGTCCAGAGTAGCCGCGAGTATTCGGACTATCCCCGTATAGAGGGCGGCGATACAGTTGGGCGTGGGTAGGCAGGGAAATAGTGCGCGGGAGGGGGAGGGAAATAAGGGCCGGCAGGGTAGTAGGGTGGGTGTCGGCGTTTTATCTTCGAGCGCCCGTCTCGCTCTTCGCCAGTCCTCCGCCACTCATTCTGCTGGTCGCATGCATAACCCCCTCATCCTTCACGCAAGACAGGCTGACAATCGACATCGGCGCCCATGTCGGGCTTCGGCGCCCTTGTAGGGCTGCACCGTGGCCATGTCGTGGCTCGGAAGGATTTGGGGGCCAGAAGGCATCCATGGATGTTGGTGAGAGGAGCTGATCGTATTTTATTGGATTGGCGCGACCACCAACGGGACGGCTGACCCCAAGACCCCGTTCGCTGTCCAATAAGATGAGAATTTGGTATGAGGAGCGGGGTGGCCTACTGACGAAGGGGAAATGGTGGGAACGATAGCAGGCTGCTGGGATCAGCGACGCCAGCGAGGACCAATCCAGGTCACCCCGACTTCACAACTCGGGAGCCTTCTGATGTGGCTGCCTGCCTCAGCTTTGGTCTCACCATATGGTCTGCGCTGCTGAGCAAGCCAGAGACAGAAAAGTACACGGCCTGTGCTGGACTGCATTCTGTCTATCGCATGGTGCCTGGAGAGAAACAGCTGTGTATTGGAGCCAGCTCGAAGGCTACATCTACCTGTCTAGCTGAACCCTGGCCAACACATAGCACCACAACAGAGACGTCGTGGACTCAGAACAAGGCCAATAACCGGCAGCAGAATCCGCTCTGAGCGAAGAACGTGGGCAAGGCGCCGATCATAGGAATGGCTGGCGAGGCGTCTCAAGCCGCCGGTGCACTTGTGTCCTCGTTCGGGCTGTCTTTTGAAATGGGTTGGGCTGTGGGTGGATAAGGTAAGCTGTGCACCATGTTGCTCCAGTGCCCCCAAACCCCATGCGTCTCCGCCTTCAGGCACCCTGGGACTTGAGCATTTGATCAATCGCTTGTCGGCTGTTCTTAAAGGTCGTCTCAAGATAATGCAGTTTCTGTCCAAGCTTCTCCACCTCGTTTTCCTTATCTTTGATCTGAGTGTCCAGTTTCTCTGCGAGCTTTGGCGTAGGTAGCGCAACGAACCTGGCGGTTGGTGAGTGCTGAGACACGAGAGCTGACCCGAATGGACTCACATTTTGCCAACTCCCTCGAATACATTGGACCCTCTCGGGAGCCCGGAAACCTCGTCCAAAGTCAAACGCAGCATGCGCATTTCACGCTGCTTGGACGCCGTCTGCGACCGCGCCTGTCCAATCTGTTGTTGGGCTGCAATCGCCTGGCCCTCAATCTCCCTCATCAACTGTTCAGTCACGCAATCCGTATTAGCCTATTGCCCCGCTGCTGCTATTCCAAGGCTGTGCCGTGTGTCAAAATGGGCCCTTACAGACCTTCTCCAGAGCCTGGTTAGGAATCGACATGATGAGAAGCCCTGTAAACAGGTTGCGCGGCCCAAGTCGGTTGCTCGGCGAGTCAGTTGACTATGCAGCCAAGTCTGCTCAGTCGTAGATTTAAACGTCGACGGTGCGAGCCGTGCCTTCAGTGGCATGCGCTGTCCAGCGGTTGCCGAAGTGTTGGTGCGAGTTCGTTTGTCGCAGGCGATGTAGGCAACATGAGCACGGAGAGAGGTGAGCGGCAGAGTCGAGCTCTTCAGGCGGATCCCCACCTTCGAACACTATCGATATGCCTATCGGTTGGCGCTAAGACCACAGCATCGTGCCCCCTTGCATGTATTATGTATATGGGGCAAACACTGTTGCCGAACTGACTTGATGTTGATGTACAGTACACTTGGAAGTTTTTCTTGAGGCACCTTCTTCTGGCAACAGGCTTTTCTTCCCACGGCGTCGGAGTACCTCGCGCCTCATTGTCATTTGTTACGCGCCACTGATCACGCTCGCTACACCTTCTCCTTGACCCTCACCACCTGTGGGACAGACAACAGGTGGCCCTGCCACAGCAGCTTGTACTCGTTCTCGCGGCCTCCGAGACACCGCCGAAGCCAGATGCCCCATACAATGTAGTAGTATCCTGTTCAGTCGCATTAGCTTCTCCAGCCAGGAGCAAGTGAGCTGACCGAGCGTGAGACGGGACCAGCAGGTTGTGGGCATGTCAAACTGTACCTCCAAGACCCGTCATCAAATGCCACCAACCATGTCCCTCCAGTAAGATCCCCCATGGAAGACCTACACGCCTCCTCCAATGGGTAATTGTACTGCAGTAGTGATTATCTAGATTCCAGATGAAGAATCCGCCAAG